CAACAGATCCACAACAGATCCTACAGACGTCATTACGCCAAAAAAATTCACCGTTTGGTGTGATTTGCACGATCGTGTCATCATCGGAACTGATTATTTTCCAAAATAAGCTAAAACTCGCGTTACGAAAATGTAACTGTAAAATGACATTGAACTGATTGAGATATAGTTTCGAAATTCTAAAAATTAACCTATTATTTGACCACCAAGGCCGCTTTAATTTGACGTTTCGATTATTTCCTATGGGGCAATGTAAAGTCACTACACAGAGGGAACAAAGATTTTTTTAATTTATAATTTTATTATATTTTTCAATAACATCCATTGTCAAAGTATGTACGGATAGTTGTCAAACCAAGAACGAAAATATAATAAATACACTTCGTTATCAAATCAACAAAAAATAATAATGTGTTACCAAAATGACAATGCTATGTTGTCAAAATCAGAACGATGCATCGTTGTCTAAATATTAACTGTAGGCACACTTTTTAAAACTGATTGTATCAATTTCGGTACTTTTCCATCGATTTTTTTCCTCTGTGTTGTTTATAATAAACCAGCATTGATACCTTGGGGACATACATTGTTCATGGTAGTTGCGACATACCGCTATCAATGCTCGAAAAATAGGTCCAAAATTGGAAGTCCAGAAAGTTTTTCGTTGGGACCATGTATTGATATAAAAATAGATTTGTTTATTAAATTTTCCTTGTTTGCGTCAAGTTCTATTGGACTTAAAAACCACACGATTTATATAGCAAAAGAATTGATGTCTCCTTAAAAATTTGCAATTCAAGAAGTTTTGTTTTCTATAATCTTATTTTGATTATACGAAATTATCGAAACGTTTGGTTAGATTAGATATTTAAGGTTCAAAATATATGTATCTGTATAAAAAAGGCACTTTTTTATGGCAAGATTAAGTCCTGGAAAGAATAATTCAATCTGATATTTCCGGGCAATGTGCAAATCAACGAATAGCCATCGTTAGACTCAAAATATTTTAAAAATCATCATAAAACAAAGATCTGAAGTCGAGTACAATTTTGAATTAAACATGTAAAATCGTATACCCTTTTTGAATACGATTAAGCTTTAGTAGGTCAACTCTAAAAATAAAATTACAAGCTACAAAAGTTCCCACTGCAACTGGATCTTGTCTCCAGAACAACCCGAGTGTTACTCGGTCAATGATTGTCCACTCAGCTGTATTAACCGAAAGTTATTTTCCCAGGAAAGAACTATCGCCGACAGTCCAACTGTTACATACATATATTTTGTAAAGGGTAACACAAGCAACCTTTTTTGTGAATCGTACTACTGTATAGACTTTTAGAAAACATAATAAATCAATTCTTTCTTTGTAAACTAATGTTCTTCCTAATGTTATGTTGTATTGTTAAACTGCTAATTACACTTATTTTCCATTTATTATTTACTTGTAAACATTGCATACATTAATAACTTTATTCGTCAAATATTATTGATTAATTTATAAAATCCATTAGAATACAATCGCTTATTTTTAGAATATTGTATTTAAATCACACATTAAGGTTAGATTAATATCAGCAATTATTAACAAATACTTTTACACAACAACAATTTAGTTCAAAGTAAATTGCTCATTTGTAGTAATAATGACAAATTTTAATGTCAACAAGAGAGAAGACATTGTTTCAATTAAGTTTTGCGACATTAAGCAGATTATTAGGTGATGTTTCGTAAGTTATTTAATTTCGAAATGTAGACAGATGAAAGACGACAAAAGTAAATCTACTTAGTACATTAAACTTAATAACTTTGAAGATGTAGTTTAGGTTTAATTAGTGTGACATGTTTTTAATTGATGTTTTATTATATTTTTTTGATAGATGAATTAATACCTAGCTATTCTAGCAGTTCGGAGGGACAGTTGGGAATTAATCTATCACTTACCCCTAGCCACCTACTACACTTTTGACTAGGTATTTTAACATTCTTAAGACAAGGAGGAAGACAATCGTCACTGCATAAATTACAAAGTGATAATTAGAAAGCTATTGCAAGGGAGTCAATGTTGCCCCTAGCCACCAATTATATATTTGACTAGGTATTTTAACATCTGCTTGTACTGGGTGGAAGTCAATCGCCACTCCATGGATGCATAGTTTAAAAAGTGGCAGTCAGAAATCATGGCAAAGAGAGTCCATGCATGGCAATTCGCTTAAGTTAGTTTTTTAAGCGTATACAGTAAAGTGACTACTGTCTTCGCTTTTGTCTACAACGAAAACATTCGTGACGAAAGACTAATTGGAGCCGACTATATGGTTAGACTTTAGTGGCTGTTCAGATGCATTAACTCTTTGTCAAACTGCTGCAAAATTCTGTTCGTAAATTAGAAATGTAATGTTTTTTTTTTTTTTAATTTTTTGTTTTTCTTAAAAATGTTTGCTTATCATAATAAAACCGCAATATTTATTTGGGGAAATTTATGGTCTTAAAAATATATACATACATTCATGTGTATAAAGTTAAACACCATGTAAATTTGTTTACCTTATTCGGCAAGTTCCGTTTTAAAGTTTCCGAGGGCATATTATATCAGACATTTAATGCAAATTTGATAAAAAAATGAATGAATTATGCAAAATACATAATATAAACCACAAAGTGATTGATAACTATTGCAAAAGTTTTAAAGGGCAATTATAACTATTCAAGGAATGGATGTGTAATTATCACAGCAGCTTTTGGAAATTGTCCACCTCGTAACCATATCTAGAGAAGCTTAATAGAGTAAACACAAAGGATTTTGAATTATAAGGTTTTAGGTTAGGTATCGACGGCAGCTGCTAGAAAAGCAGCTCACTTGGGTCCATTAAGTTGGTCCCGTTGTGTTACCCTTGTGGTCGCAGGAAATGTGTTCTAATGTCACTCTCTGCTTCCAGAACTAAACCAACCGGTTTCATTTATAAAACATAGGATATTCTTCAGACCTATCCCAGAAGAAGGGAGCACCAAATTGATGTTGCCTGCTTTCAGCGAATGCAGGGCAATAGCAGAGTCTCATCTTCTTCTTCATTATGATAACTTCTACATTAGACATTATATAAAAAGCCTAGTCTTCTGGCGTGGTTGCCTATGACTTAGTGTCCTGTAATTACTGATACAAGCGTTCTTATATGCTCTCTTCGAAAACCTATAAGCAGCTTAGTCTGAAAGCATCTTATAGAGGCCAAATAGACCTCGAGGTCTGACAAGTGGTTTCACTAAACCACCTGATTTGGGCTTTCCCATACAGTTCATTAAGAACAAGATTCTTACAATTCGTAAAAGAGATACCAATTAAGGTGTCGATTTCCTCCTCAACCAACATCGCGCCTTTTATGGCTAGTTCATTAACTATACAGTTAGCTTGACATTTAACGTGGCCAGGGATCCATATTAGCGTGATAAATGTCCGCTCCTGTTAGCCTCACAAATTCGAGCCTTTTTTGTTTAAGTTGCTTAATCGTTTGTTTTCATAAAACTTGCTTTTCAGATATCTCCACAAAAAGAAGAACCCCAGACCCCCTTTCTTCGAAATCATTCGTGATAAATTGTGCGATTTGTTGGCATGTTGTTACACCCAAAACTTTCATCGTCACAGTAATCGATGTTTGAGTTTGATGAAATGTTTTACGGATTAAAACACGTTCGTTTAGCGAATATTTTTTCATAACAAATTTGCCATGTGTCTATTTTGCGACTGCCAAATATGAACTGTCATGTTTACCAAAATGGCGGCGGACTCCCTGTATTAACTAGCCTAGGGACTAGTCTATGAATTAATCTTTGGATTAGTAAACGAACTAGTCTATTGTGTATTCTATATTATTTAGTTTATAGACAACTTTATGAATTAATTTTTAGTTTAGAATAGACGACTCTAATGTCAAATATATATATAATCTAATAAACTGTCTAGAAGAGAAGAGAGGAATACATAGCTATTTTAAGAATCTCATGTAGGAACACCTCTCATTCGATGCGCATTAATTTACTGAACACGAGAAAAATAAAAAAATAGTTTTTTTTTGAAAGGGGCCTTAGTTCCCTATCTTAATATAAATCTTTTCGAAATGGGTCTCAAAATTTCCGTATTTTTGAATTGATTATAAAAAAAGAAATATATTAAATTTTCTTTTTAGACAAAAATTATTTTTATTGGTCTAAAGAGATATTGAAATATGTAGGTTGAAAAATTGTTTGGCATTTTGTTTGGTTCATTTCAGAAGTTTTTAGATAACATATTTTGACATTTATATGCATCTTATAAAGTCGTTTTGCGGACAGAACTAAGGAACTTAACTTAAGGAACAAAGACCCTTTTCCACGGAACAAACAATTGTCTAGTCTACAGATTTGTGTATGTCCTACTCTACAGACTTGTCTAGTATTGTCTATAGATTAAGATTATTGTCCAGACTAGTCTATGGAATAGGCTATAGACTGGTCTAGGGGGAACTAAACCTAAAGCTTGACTTCAACGATTCCCCAACAGAAATATCAAACTTAGGTTTTTATAAAATTAGAGAAATTATTTGCTGTAGTAACAATTTTTAAAAGCTTTGCACTTGAAAAATTGTTTACATTAATTTTTAAAGATAAAACATTATTTTAATACATATTTATTATTTACGCTTTAACTTTTTTCAATTTAAATTTAATTAATTTGTTTTTTGTTTTTCTTTACAGATTTGCAAATACTTTAATTTTTTATCCGGGTAAGTTAAAATTTTATCATTTTCCCTACACATGCCATAACTGACGCATAAATAATAATATTTTTTTTTTTTTTAATAAATTTTTTTTTTTTAAAGAAAAATAAACAATTTAATCATTTCACTGAAATAATTAACATAAACGTTTATAGTATAAATACCAAATTTAACAATTGTTGACATTAAAAAAATAAAAATGATTACATATATTTTTTTTTTTCAAAAAAAGATAAAATTAAAATTCATCTGTACCTTTTAACTTTAATCTAGAAGAACAAACACACTTCTTTATTGTAATTTTAACTTTTTGTTTTAAATATGTACAGCTGCCGTTTCTGTTTAAAATTTATTGAATGTTAAAAAAACCCAAATTCACTAAATCACGTTTATTTAAATTACTTGACAAGTACTACAAGCTTGTATTGGTGGAAGGACCACAAAAATAAAACCACCACTAAAAAAGCACAAAAGGCGCGCTAACAACTTTAAGTTTTTACTTTAAATCGTATTTTTAATATCTTTGTAGTAACTGCTGCATGTTGTTAGAACTTAAGGGGTTGACCAGCGGGTACAGTAGAAATTTATTATTTTAAAACCAGAACACACACGATTTTTGTTCTATTTTTCTGAAATTGTTGTTAAAGTATTCAAAATGTAACCGTATGAAGACCGTCGCTTTTAAACGTTCTATACGATTTCAACAAGTAAAAGCAACTAAAAAATTGCTTTCCAAAACCCATAGAATCAACTCTTGTTCAGAAAAGTTTTATTGTGGATTTTTTCAGTCATTTGTTATTGTATTTCTGTTTGATACTCATGCTAATACGTTGAGGTTGTAAGCTGTTTTTGGTAGGTTGGATTTTGTAGATTTATGTTCGCTGCGAACATGTTCGATTGTTCGATTAAAGATGCCGGTAAAATGTTGGTTTTTACGTTACTTTGAAATTGTAGATAGATATTAGGTTCTTTTTTTTTAATTTGGAAACTGGTTTTATATTCATGAATTTTATGTGATTGTATCTGAAAGATGTTTTTAGTTTTAATTAATGTTCTAACGTGTTTTGTTAGTTGAAATATTTTCGTTTAAGTATGTATTATCTACAACTTTCACAGGATTATTTAGTTTGAGAGTTTATGGTTGGAAAATTCATTTATGTATAACTAAACTTTTGCACATTTTGAAATGTTTGTTAAAAACCCAGTTTTAAAAAGGATTTATAAAACATTTGAAATCTCTTAAATAACTCAAATCAAATTTTCGAAAGTAGGTAAAAATAGTATATTATGAAAATATGTAATATGTATGTAGTATTGCGTTTTGGGATTCAAAGGAGTCTCGTCTAAATGTTAGTTTGTTAGTTGGATATACATATGTATACATACATTAAGTGCCTCAGGTGGGAATCGATCCCACCACCTCCGGTCTACCAGACTGGAACACTAACCACTAACCTACCGGAGGCCATGTTTGTTCTAAATAAGAACAAACATATTAGCATTAGACCGGCCTTAATTAGATAAATAATGTTCGAAAGACTTAATGTATCTTCTAATGGCATGGTAGATTTTGATGCTAAGGAATCAGAAACTTTTGATTTTCTGGGCATGAAAGTGCGGTGTCTGCTGAGAAAAGAACTCTCATGTAAGATCCGGAGATTCGAAGTCACCTTGTACAGTGGATTCACCGACGAAAGTTAGGGTGTATTTCACTGTTCTATCGATATTACAATGGAATATGTTCCTCTGAATTAAGGGAAGTTACACATACACGTATTTCCTGCTGGCCTAAGAAAAAAAAAGATATTTTTAGAAAAGCATACACATTGCGAACATTAATCCAACTAAGATCACGAAAATGAGGAATCAAAATCATATTCATATTGCTAGCAATTTGGAGAATTTGCAAAAATATCAAAACTTTTTGATCCAACCGAACGGCTCCTTACTTTAGGCGAGCTGGCCAAAAGCGGTTATAGGACACGTCATCAATGTATACTGGACACATTGGAAGGTTATACACAATCGTCGGACGTGCCTGATCGTATACCGGGCACAGAATGTCGGAAACTTTGAAACGCTGATCGCAGATAGAATGTCTTGGTCAAGCGGAACATTAAAGCAAATATCAGTAGGAATCCGTTGTTACACGGATGGCTCTAAATTGGGAGACAAAATGGGGCTGGGGTTCTATATTGAAGACCCAGAAATATAGCACCATTTACCAAATCATAACACAAGCTTCCAGGCACAAGTACGAGCAATAACGGAATGCGTAAATTGGATTAGAATAAATATGGCGCCCACAGCGCTTAATATATTTATCGACAACCAGAAGACAATTAGGGCGATATCAGGTGATAGAACTAAATCTAAGACCGTACTGGATTGTAAGAAAGCTTTAACTGAATACTCTCTCATCATATGGTACCAGCCCATTTGGGAGTAGTCGGTAACGAAAGGGCGAATGTAATAGCTTTAAAGGGAAGGGAGCTCGAGGCAGTTAACCTGACAAACGCAAAACTATTCGACGCAACAAAAGCTGAACTAAAAATGTAGGTGAGAGAATCACATAAGGCCTTTGGAATAATGAAACAGTGGGTAGAACCACGAAGATCCTATAGGGTGACTCTGATGAGAGCAAGACGAAAAATCTCCTCAAAATGAGCAAGTCTAAAGTTAGTATGATAGTACGTATTCTGAGTGGACACACAGGATTAAGAGCACATATATGCAAAATTGGACGTGCGGATTCAGACGAATGTAGAGCATGTGGGGAGGATAGTAAAACTCTGAAGCACTTTCTTTGCCACTGCCAGGCATTCGTCGAAGTTAGATCCAAGTATCTTGGAAGTGATGCTATTCCGGAAAAAACATTCCTGACTAACACTGATTGGAATATTCTTTGGAACTACGTTTAGGAAACTGAGCTTCTGAACACTGAAAAATAATTCATTCAGTGAACTTTTTTTTTCATGATAAAGAGCGCACAACAGGCCCGATATTGGCCTAGGTGTATTTCTTCGGATTTGATGTAGTATACATCCTCCTATTAACCTAACATAACCTTTTGATCCAACCAACAACCAACTCAACTTCTTTCAACAACCGTCCAAACTTTGTAAACAATCTTCTCATTTACTTTAGGTAATGTTAGGTTAGAATGATCTCGTGCCTGTTGTGCGCTCCTTTTCATAGCAATTGTTGGCGAAAAAACGTGTATATCGTTACCAGGAAAAGTGTTTCATTGTCCATTCTGCATGCTATTATATATATTCGTCTGAGTCCGTTCGGGGAATTTTGTTCAGTTGTGCACGTAAACCAGTTTACTCTCATTCTGAGCCGAACTGCTCTTTTTGAGGTCATCTCATATGATTTAGTGGACCTACTGAATTCTCTCGTCCATATTTTTCAAATGGTTTTGCGTTCGTCAGGATAACTTCCACAAGCTCCATTCCTTTTATAGCAATCTAATTTATTTCATTATCATCCACGAGAGGACCCGGACACCCCATCTGATGTAAAGCTTGCTTATAATTTTCTTACAGTCTAATATGATCTTGAAAGCAAGTGTTCTGATTAGGAAGATGAACATGATCTTCTACCTGGGACTAATTTCCTGTCACGTCTCGTGTTTGTATACAGCGGTCCAATACATTGAAGAGGTGTCTTGTAACCCGATGTGTTTAATTCTCTTAAACTTAGATACGAGTCACTAGGCTGTCAGTGCCGTCTCGTCTCTAACAAGCGTTTCAATCAGGGTCATGTCTGTCAATTTTTCTAAAGCTTTGAGTTATTTTCTTTTCCTCTGTTTTTTAATATTCTTTGTTGTGCATCATCTAGTTATCAGGGACCTGTACTTGACATGAACATTGGGTTTATTGATCGAACAAACATGTGTTATATGGCTAAGTCTTATGGATTTGATTTAATTACACACCGAATCCAGTCTAGGTCAAGTAGTTGATACATTAGGACATCTGTTCTGGGCAATATTATACCAAACGTTTATAATAAATCGTTTACAAGAAGAAGGGAAAACTCTTTAGAAACATTGAATACTCCTTAACAAAGTTTAACGACAATACAATCCTCATATTCTCTCCTTCATATTAGTATTAATTTCATATCTTTGGGATATGCCCGATATATTGGCTATAGGGAAAAAATCATTCAATATTATGCGATCACCCATATACCGCACTTTTTAACTGAATAAGTTACCAAATCAACTAAATAAAAAAACACAAACTATAAAAAAATGATTTAAACTCGTTTCTAGTTAACGACAATGACAAGAAGATGAAGATGTTGATACCTGTTTGTTATCTATTCCTATTCTATCTATTTTAACTGTTTGTCAAATTATTGAAGAAGCGTAAATACAAAAATAAGATCTAAACAAAAACTGGAATCAATGCGACAATAAACATGTTGAAGAACACTTTTTCATCTAGCACGTGGTTAAAATATGTGTATTTCACACAAAAATATGTATGTTTATAAAAGTGTGACAACGTGTAAATGTTTGTTTGTGTTGGTAACACATTTCGTTTAGACCCTGATATTGAATAGATTTCATTGTTTTTATACCAATAAGAAATATTTTTTTTATTTTTTAGTAAATGTTAAAACAATATTCTTTTTTATATAATTTATCGTGTATTTCATTCGAAAGTATTTTCTAATGTTTTCTTCGCTCACACACTCTCTTTAGTAATGCGAGGGTGTTTATTTAGCAGAGCTGGTAAATTAAAATTAAAAGTATAGGTACTTTTTGTCATTGATTTTTAAGTACTAAAAAACCCAAATATTCTAAAACTGTTTTAATACTAGGAACCATGATACAACCATTACCATGACTAGGAACTATTTCTAGGATTTCATTTGGGTAAAGTCTTAAAGCTAACGATATTATCAAGACTAATAACTGAAACATAAGGCAGGCAACTTAGAAAGAAAAACTAATACCCAGTAATGGTACTAACACTAGAATAATGCCTGAGTCTAGTTCTAAAACATAATTTGTATAATCGATGTTATAAATTGAAGAGCAAAGATTTGCCAAATATTTGTACTTGTTAGAATTGTATTGCACCAAAAAAGTATTATTGTAACAAGTTTTCCATCTCTGTTATTTAGTATTTCAAAAGAACACATCGTTACAAACACATTTAAATAATAAAACAACAAATTATTTACGTTGTAACACTTTTATCATTTGCCACGTAATATGGAAATATTTAATTCAAAATTTGTTGTATTTTTTAGAGGTGTTTCTTGAATAGACAGCAATGAAACATTTTATGAATGAATTGTAGTTTTTCTTTTATTTAGATAAAATAAAATTTAGATAAAATTTCCTTTTATAATGTACGTTTATGAAATTTTAAAATAGTACTAACCATATCCAGTACTTTCTAGGAAAAACAAACCAAAGTTAATTCGAGAAAAATTCCATTAAAATCATATATTAACATTATCTAAATTACCTAAAATACTCGTAATTATTCGATCATATAAATTTAAAGGATTTATTTATTTATTAGTCCATTACAGAAAGGGTGATGGCTCAAAGACAGAAAGGGGCACGGGATCGGAAATCTTTTCCGAAAAACTAAATCTTCTACTGTCTCTTCGACTACCTGACACCTACACGGTCCTTCAGGCAGAGATATATGCCATCTATACAGCCGCGAGAAGAATCCGGGAA